AAATACCATCAATATTTTTCAAAGAAATTGAAGAAAAACACTAAAATTGTTATGGAGCCAAAAGAGGCCTCAAATAATAAAAGTATCCCTGAAGAAAAAGAAAATGGTGGCACCATGTTACCTGACTTTAAACTACTCTATAAAACAACAGTAATTAAAACAATATGATATTGGAATAAAAATAGACATAAGGATCAATGGATTGGAATTTAAAACCCTGAGGGCCTCCCTGGTGGTGTAGGTGTTAAAGACAGTGCTATTGCCAAGGTATCACCAGCCACTGCAGTACCAGTTTGATCCCCAGACAGCCAGGGAGCAACCCACATGGCACAGCTGACCTCTCCTGATTCACCCACTGCTTCCTTCAGCAGTGGATTTCAGTAGATCTGCCAGTTCTGCTCCCCACTCTCTCTGGCGAATCTTCTCACCCTCCTACTCCTCTGGCTTACACCCCAGTTCTTGTATGCCTAAATAAATACTTCTTTAAAAAAAAGAATTTAAAACCCAGAAAGAAATCCATAAACATATTAATACTAACTTTGTGATAAAGCAGCCATGACCATACAATGGGGAGTGGAAAGTCTCTTTAGCAAATGGTGCTGCGAAAAACAGACAGATACATGTAAAAGAATGAAGTTGGATCACTCCCTAATGCCTTACACAAAAATTAATTCCCACTGGATTAAAAATTTAGATACAGGGCCTACCCGGTGGCACAGCGGTTGAGCGCTGGGCTGCAAAGCTGCCCGCAGCCTCTGCAGTGCCAGTTCATTCCCTGGCTGCCTGGTGAGGGTCCCACATGGCGTGCAGACCTCTCCTGCCCCGCCCGCTGCTCCCGTCATCAGTGTACTTCGTCTGTCTGGCTGTTCTCCTCCCCGCTCTGGCTCTGGTGAATTCTCTCACCCTCCCGTGCTTCTGACTATACCCAGTGCTTGTATAAATAAATAAATAATTCTTTAAAAAAAATTAGATATAAGACCTAAAAATTAACATGTAGAAGAAAATACTAGTGATGTGTTCCTTGATATCAATGATAAAGATATTTTTTGAGATTTGACATCTATGGCAAGGGAAATAAAAGCAAATTTAAAAATTGTTATTAGGGCCTCCTGGTGGCACAGCAGGTTGAGCGCATTGCTGAGAAGCTGTCTGCAGCCTCTGTAGTGCAGGTTCGATTCCTAGCTGGCCAGGGAGCTACCCACATGGCTCAGCAGACCTCTCCTGTCTCTCCCGCTGCTCCCCTCAGCAGTGTATTTCAATCTGCCTGTTCTGCTCCCCACTCTGTCTCTGGTGAATCCTCTCACCCCCTGCACCTCTGGCCTGTACTCCAGTTCTTGTATAAATAAAAATAAATCTTTAAAAAAATTGTGATTACCTTAGATAAAAAGCTTTTACACAGTGAAAATGTAAGTCAATTTAAGAAGCATCCTACTGAATGGGAGATAACATTTACACATTATACAATCAACTGTTAGAGGGTCCTGATGCAAAAGAATGGGTCCTTTGCCCTCTATGGAAGAATTCTCCAGAGAGCTCTAGGTGTGGTTGAACCAGGTAAGGCTTTATTAGAGAGGGTCGTTCAGGAGGGAGCCAGTTTGGGAAAGTAGAATATAACCTGGCACTCTGAAGGAGTTAGGAGAAGATATTTGAAGGGTAAGTCCAGGAAGTGGGGAGGAAGAGAGCAAATTTATAGCTTGTTCTGTCTTGGGCTATGCCCAGGCACATTCCAACTTAGCATTTGTGCTCTCAGTTTTCTCTCTCCAAGAAATTGTGAGATAATCATTAATTAGCCTCTAATACTTTTTAATTTATCATGGCACCTTGTGGTCTGTGTGGTGGGTCCAATTGTTTGGACAGACTAGCCACTGCATGATTTAGTCCACCTGTTCAAACAGGCCCTGGGGCAACTCATCCTACCAGCTCATAGTTCCTTTTACCTGGGCTGTCTCACAATGAGGAGTTAATATTCAAGATATATGAAAAATGTATACAATTCAACAATAAAACTCCAAGTAACCAAATCATAAATGGGCAGTAGACCTGAACAGACAATCATCAAAGAGACTATCCAAAAGGCCAATAGATATATGGAATAATGTTCATCATCACTTTTAAAAAGGGATATTCAAGTTAAAAACCACAATGAGATATCATCTCATACTTGTGAGACTATCATATATTAAAAAGACACTCAGCAAGTACTGGACATGGAGAAAGTGGATCACTAATAAATTGTTGGTGGGAATGTAAACTGGTTTACATAACCATTTTGGAAAGTAATCTGATTTGCATAAAAACTTAGGATGGAAATACCATATGACTTAGCAATCTCACTCTTGGCATATAATCAAAGAACATGAGCCCATCCACTCAAAAAACTACTACACAATATTTATTGCAGCACTATTTACAATAGCTAGGATATGGAAGCAACCTAAATACCCATCAATGGAAAACTAAGTCAGAAAGGGGTGACATATCCACACCATGGAATACTATCCTGTCATAAAGAAACACAAAATGTCACCATCTATAGCAAAATGGAAATAATTCAAGGGAATTATGTGTAGTAAAGCAAGTCATTGTGACAAAGGCAAATATTGGGCATTTGCACAGTAGACAATTTGATGCATTAAAATATTTATAAAAACTAGCAGTCATTAATGAACAAAGGGAAGTTTCTGAGGTTAAAAGGGAGGGGGTATGGAGAAAGGGTCAATGGTGATATAAGGGATAGTCATAGGAATAAAAAATAATCATCATCAGGAACTTTGAAAAAAAAAGGAAATGTTTGCTTTAGAATATGAAGTAGGAATACTTAACCTGAGAAGCATGAATTTGTAAAGTGTCATGCATAGAATTCAAAGTGTCTGTATACTTGGATACAAAAAAAGACATCTTTTTTTCACTAACCTCCAATAGAATTTAGCATTTCATTCAATAATGCTGTAATAGGCAACCAAGCATGGAGGTATCCTAACAAACCTCTTAAAATACTGTTTATATTAATCACTAATTTGAACACCCGTAGTCATTTAACATGCTAATAGTTCAGATTAGTTAATGCATTGATAAAGAAACATGCATATTAAAATTAGTTTTTGTTTGTTTTTTAGAGTTGTAGGTAGTAAAGCCAGGACTTGAACTGGGGTACAGGCCAGAGGTGTGGGAGGTGAGAGGATTCACCAGAGACAGAGCAGGGAATAGAACAAGCAGATAGACCGAAGTACATTGCTGAGGGGAACAGCGGGCAAGTCAGGAGAGGTCTGCAGTGCCATCTGGGTAGTTCCCTGGCCTGGGATCAAACTCGCACTGCAGAGGCTGCAGACAGCTTCACAGCGCTGTGCTCAACTGCCTGCACCACCAGGAGGCCCTGTCCCAATCTCTTCTTATAATGATACCAGTCATACTGGATTAGAGTGTGCATGAAAGGCCTTATTTTACCTTATCTCTTTAAAGGTTCCAAATACAGTCACAATCTGAGCTATTGGGAGTTAGCAATTTAATATATGAATTTGGGGAGAGGTACAATTCAGCCTGTAACAGCAACTATCAGCACACCTAATTTTTGAACATTTCATCACCCTCAAAAGAAGTTCTGCTGGGCCTCCCTGGTGGCACAAGGGGTTAAAGAAGAGCACTATGAAGCTATCCACAGCCTGTACAGCATATGTTCAATCCCCTGGCTGGCCAGGGAGACCTGGCGCAGCAGACCTCTCCTGTCTCGCCTGCTGTTCCCCTCATCAGTGTATTTCAGTCAATCTGCCTGTTCTGCTCCCCACTCTGTCTCTGGTGAATCCTCTCAACACCCTCCACCCCACACCTTTGGCCTGTACCCCAGTTCCTGTATGCATAAATAATCTTTAAAAAAAAGAAATTCTGTTTCCATTTAGAGTTACAAGCTATCACTCTTCTGTCCCCAATCCCTGAGCAACCATTAATCTCTTTTCTGTCTCTAGATTTGTTTGTTCTGTAAATTTCATATAAATGGTATCACATGATACATGGTTTTTTCTTGACTAGTCAGTCATGGTGTCCCCTTTCATTCCTGATTTCAGGAATGAAAAGCATTCCCTCTTTTTCTTAGTCATTCTAGCTAAATTTTATTTTTTTCAAATAACCAACTTTTGGTTTCACTGATTTTCTGTATTGTTTTTCTGTTTCCTATTCCATTTATTTCTGTTTCAGTCTTTATTGTTTTCTTCCTTTTGTTTGCTTCGGGATTACTTTGTTCTTTTCTTGGTCTCCTAAAGTAAAAGGTCTTTGTTATTTTTAAATATGGGTAGGTGTTTATAGCTACAAAATTTTGTTTAAGCACTGATGTAGTTGCAGCTCATAAATTTTGATATGCTCTGATTTCATTTTCATTCAAGATATTTTCTAATTTCCCTTGTAATTTTTTCTTTGATCCATTTGTTATTTAGGAGTGTGCTGATTTACACATGTTTGTGAATTTCACAAATTTACTTGCTATTGATTTCTAATATCATTCCATTCCAAAATCAGAGAACATACTTTGTGTGACTTCAATCCTTTTGAAGGATTTATGCTTTATAGCTTGGCACCTGGTCTGTCATGGAAAGTGTTTCAGAAAAAGTAGCATTTTGATGCTGTCGGATGCAGTGTTCTACAGACGCTAGGATGCTCTTTTAAAATGCAGGGATTTTCCTTTACTTTATGCTCCCTAAAGAAGGTTCATTACTTTGAGTGGGTAGGTGGGTGTGCCGAAGGCAGCTGTAATCTGCAGCTTCAATAAATGCCCCACAATTTTTCTGCGTAGTACCCAAAGTCAGGAACCTATAGCCCCACATGGCGTCCACTTCTGGGTCCTTTGATGTAATTATTACCTGTGAGAAATTGTGGTGGTGTCATCGACTGCTCGGATAAATTTTTCTATTGCTCTAGTCTTGCTGCCAGGTCAGCAGAAAGGCAAATCTGCGTTCTCAGACTAGGCTTCCGGCTTATTCGGCCTGGGCCACAAGGCGGAGGGATTGGGTATTAGTAGCGTCACGTGGTCCGTGCCTGGATGATGGCGGGCGCGGGGGAAGATTCGCGAGCGCTGTTCGGGGCTGGCGTCCGCGCGGCGCTGGAGGCCTGGCCGGCCTTGCAGGTAAGTGGGGCAACGGATGGGGATAAAGGTTAGAGCCTGGGAGAGAAAAGGAATTGGCGGGGCAAAGGCTTGGCTGAGCGACGTAAACTACGAGCCCCAACGCCACCCTAAACGGACTCCCAGGTTGACGTGGTGGCCATGGGCCTGTGTTTGCAGATTGCTGTGGAGAACGGCTTCGGGGGAGTGCACAGCCAGGAAAAGGCCGAGTGGCTGGGGGGTGCTGTGGAGGAATACTTCTTCCGCAATGGTGAGTGAAGGCACTGCGACTTGTCAGTGTGGGGCCAGGGGAGTCGGGTACTGGACCGCTTGCACTTCCTCTTGAGCTGTTGTGGGTTGATACCTGAGGGCGAGGTGGAATGAGTACAGGGTTTGAAACCTTGTAGAATGTGCCACTGACTCATGATATTACACTGGACAAGTCATTTTACCTCCCCAGACTGTTTCCTAATTCCCAGCATGAGCATGAAACTTTTAGTACATCTCAATTTGGCCGCCCCACATTTTAAGTGTTCAGTAATCACATCTGGCTGTTTGTCTTGCGGGTCATGTAAGTCCTTGTCTTGCGGGCCCTGCGGAGGAGCTTTTGCATAGTGTGATTTTTAGAAAATTCTTCATTCAGTTTTTCAGTCTTAGACATGACAATAGGCAGAGTTCTTTTCTGAAGGAAGCTTACCATCTAGTGAGGGATCCAAACGAATAAATGGGCATTTACACACAGGGTTATAGGTGTTGTGATATAAGGGGCTCAGGGTATTCAAGTTCACTAGGTAGGGGAGGCAGAGAAGGCAACACTCAAATTCTGTGGTATAAGGAGATATGTTATATTTGGAAAGTGGCAAGGATGTGGTTGCTTGCATGTGGATTGCGGCTTGGAGGAATAGTAAAGAATGAAGTCGAAGGTTGGGGAGGCCCCTTGAAAAGGTACTAGGAAGGGACTAAGAAGACCTTTATGTGTCTTTGATTTTATCCCTTAGGCCAGTGTTTGCCAAAATGCATGCTATGGAAGACTAATTCCATTTAGATGTTCAGTGAAGAAAAAGTGCCAATCATGTTATGCAAGAAAAGCTCTTTAATTCCTAAAGAGTCACAATATCATTAACATATTAAAGGCTTGGATAAAGATAAGAACCACCAAAAAGAAACCTGTTTGCCTTTTTTCCCATTAGCTGTCTATGGATAGCTCCCCATAAACCCAGCAGATTATGAAACACTGCAGTGGGTAATAGAAATTCGTGGGCAGGTTCTAAGATCAGTAATAGGGTGGTATTTGCTAGCTAGAAAGTTCAGAAAATAAGCAGGATGAAGCATTGACTAGATAGGGAAAGATGATGATTAGGCAGTTTCTGTCTAGAAAATGATGAGGCCTGAAGAAGGGCAGTGGCAATGGTCATGAAAAGGTGGATTAGGGCCTTGGAGATTGTTTGGCTATAGAGTAGGAAGGAAAAGGAGGCAGGTTTCTGGATTAGGTATCTTTTGAGGGAGTTAAAGCAATCCTGAAGGATGAGAAGTGGGTTTGGAAGGTAAAGTGATGAGTCTGGCTTTGGATATGGTGGTTCTGGGGTACCCGTGAAACAGGCAGAGAGTTGGAAATGGATTTGGGAGATATTAAGTTAGAGTGGTAAGGAAAGGCAAGGGAGTGAAATGAGCTCTCCCAGAGGGCAGAAGGCAATGAGCTTTGTGGAAAACTTCCTTGAGTTATTCTTTAATTCAGAAAAAGAAAGAGCATGGCTCCATAAGGTAACTGAAGCTCAGACAGGAGGGCTAAGCCATTAGGATGTTGGCTTAGGATGTTGATGTCAAGGCTATGATGACTTCATTATTGCAATACTTGCATCCATTACTTCTTACCCATTCCGTTGGTCTGTGGCTTCCTTTATCAGTCAGTGGAGCCAAGGTTGTGAAGGGTCTCTATACTTCAAAAACTTCAGCTTTTAAGTGATGGAAATTAACATGGATTTTGGGTTTCCCCTGTGCTCAGCGTTGTGTTAGATAACTCTTCATAACAGACCAGCTACTGTTAGTCCCACTTTTCAGATGAGAAAACAGGCTCAGAGATAATAACTTGCTGAAGGTCACAGAGAACACCAGTTAAGATACGCCAGATCCAAGTGCAGGGCTGGATGCTGTGTGAATAGAGGGTTTGGTAGGGTGCAGGAAATTGGAAATCAGGTATTTATATTTAGTGTTTTTTTTTAACCATATTAAAACCTGGAATGCAGAGAACTTGAGTGAAATAAAGAGTCACTCTTTGGGCCTTTATCCACCCACTAGATATGGACTCAGGTATTGAAGAGTCATAGGCAGCAGTGATTAATTTGACTGGTCTTTGATCAAAGTGTCCTTTCCTACTCAGCTGACTTAGAGATAGATGAGGTGGAAGACTTCCTTGGTGAGCTCATGACCAATGAATTTGACACGGTTGTGGAGGATGGCAGCCTGCCCCAGGTAAGCCTGTTTTGGACACAACTGCCATCTCCTATCCTGCAGTTTTTTCCTTCAACTGTCTTGTTTTGGGCTGGCTCTTGATTTTAGCCACTCTTTTCTTAAGTACTGCACAACTTCCTATGACTCTCTAGTGCCTAGAGGAGAAGGTCTAGTTTTCCTAGCCTTCCCAAACCCCTTTATTTCTCTTCGTACATCATTCTCAGCCAGTTCAGTTCTTCACCCCCATCCCAGTGGCAGATCTAGCCAGGTACATTTCCACCTTTGCCTCCCCCCACTGGGATTGCCTTCCTTTTTATTTTCTACTGTTCAAACCCAGTTCTAGTGCTTTCCCTGGTAAGAGGCCCTACTTCAGTGCTTCAGGCATTTATCTAAGCCCTTCATATGTGGTTGCTTCATTAGTGAACTCCTTGGGGAGAAAAGAACCCAATTCTCTTCTGGTAGATTCCAAACTGCTCCCTGCTCTTGCTGCAAACATGGGCTGGTTGTGTTGTAGGTTCTCTGGAAAAGCCTAGCTAGTTGGATGTTTTTTTGGTAGGTGAGCCAACAGCTGCAGACCATGTTCCATCATTTCCAGAGGGGTGATGGGGCTGCTCTGAGGGAGATGGCCTCCTTTATCACCCAGAAGAAGTGCAGTGTCAGAGCCACTGCACTTTCGACAGCCAGAGAGACTGATGAGGATGATGCAGATGGTGTGGAGGAGATGGAGGTAAAAGGGGTGCCCCTTGTGTGGGGGGATGTAGATATTCTTGATTTTCTGCGAGGTCAGCTAGTTTAATAAAGAAGTGATTGGGTAAGTGGTGGTAGTGGTTGTATTATACAGAGAGGATGGGGAACTTTCCTAAGGACACAGTCCTGGCAAAGCTGGGAGGGTGGTCTGGGTCTCCAGGGGCCATAGTTGGAAGGTATTGTATTTAGCTTTCTCTTGTATTTCTCCTCCAGGTCACAGCTACAGTTGATGGGGCAGCAACAGGTGGGGTTGGCCCCCAGCCTGAACCAGAGGGTCCAGACTCCCAGACTATTAAGGAAGAAGATATAGTGGAGGATGGCTGGACCATTGTCCGGAGAAAGAAATGAGTGGGGCTGGAAGTGGTTTGGGCTTTTGTTTGCTGATTATTTTGAGATTGTATGTAGGGTTTTTTTGAGGGTTGTGAACCCCTGAACTGGTTACCCCATCCCTACTTTCTCCCAGTTCCCCTGTCCAGTTCCCTCCAGGGGAAGAAGAGGCCTAAGGTCCTTGGTCTTGGGGGTGACGAGACCTGTTTCACCACCCGCCTTGGCTCTTAAATTATCAACTGAGTGAAGAGGCCTGTTTTCTCAGAACAGTGCCTTTTCAGGTATAGACACTGTGAAGAGGGAGAGACGAGTGGGTGTGGCTGGAGGAGAAGCTCAATGCTGGTTACAGTGAGCAAGTGGATTTGCGAAGGGAGAGGGCCAGGCTGAGAACCAATATTCCTGCTGGATCAGGAGTGGTGAGATGAACATGCCAACAGAAGAGAAATTAGTTGGAAGATGTGAAAGACAGTAGCTGTGGTATCTCTCTTCTTTCTCCTTCCACCATATACTGAGAGAAGCTGTGTTGTACCCCTGCCCAGTACTTGGAATTTGCCAGAGCACTCCTTTCCTGCAGCCCAGCCTCCAACCTTTAAAGTCTAATACCGTGGCTAGATTGGGGACTGGACTTTGTTTTCTCTTCCATCTCTTTTCTAAACTCTTCATCTCATCCCACTCAAGTCCAGGGATGAGGCTTAAGACCTCAATAAATAATACCTTACTGTTTAATATGTGGCTTTACCTGTGAATAACCTTGGAATCGGTCTACAGTAAATTGAGCTCAGCAAGGGAGCAGTTTCTGGGCCTACCCTAGCAGCCTGGTATTTTGGACAAACACATGGAGCACAGCAGCGCTCTGAAAGTTTCTGTAAGCCTGAAATAAACTGTATTTTTCTTTAAAAAACAAAGAGTATCCACTGTCTTCCCCCCCACCCAATCCCACCCCTGTTCCCCTGTCCTGCCCAGTGGCCCTGCCATGGGTCTGGACGATAAAATACTGGGTACCTTTGGGGCTGATAGAAACTGTAAGCCATGGAAGAGGCAGGAAGGGTCTGGTCAGCACCCCACATGAAGACACTGGCTAAAGAGGCAGGAGTAGGCCGGGGCTATGGGCCAGTGGCAGACATGGCACTTAACCAGATCTGCCCCCCCACCAATTTTGGGGGGGAATTGGGTGGAAGCAGGATCTGTAGGGTATTGATGAGGGAACATGGCCTAATTCAGATGGGTCTAGCAACAGCTTCCACCCTCCCAGGGAATGGGTTAAAAAAATTAACATCACTGTAGGAATATTTTTAAAAAGCTCACGCTTTGTGAAAAGATGAATTAAAAAACCCGAGACCCAGCATTCAGGATTGAAAGTGCCCATAATGGGAGTTCAAGTATTGACTGAGCTGGGAAGAGGAGGCTGGGGCCCCCAATTGAACATGAGCAACTCGAGTGTGGGGCAAAAGGGCCTCAGTTATCCCCAAACCGTCTAGGTCTTGTCTCGGGTTTGGGGAGGTTCGGGTGGTTCAGCAGTGGCTCCTGAAGCTGCCACTGATGCCTCCTCCATCTCCTTGTCCTCAGACAGTATGGGCCCTGGGCAGAATGTGTCCCCACGGCCTGCCCGGCCCAGTACAGCCATCCAGCGCTGCTGTAACTCCTCTGTCTCAGGGCTGAAGTACCAGCTCAGATGGCTCTGGGTGATCTTGAAAACATGCCGCCTGTCAGGCCTCTCCCCTGCATCAGGAGGCCCCACCTCAAAGCCAATGAGGGGCAGGCTGCGTTGAGCTTTCACATCCTGTGGAACAGACACAGCAAAGGTCATCTTGGGCCTAGGCTTCTCAATGGTTTTTTATCTACTCTTCCCCTCCCCTGCTTCAGAACCTTACATTGCATCACTTATAGCAAGAGGAAAATATCTGAATTGATGGTAGAATGAAGGCTATTTCAAATGCCTACTTCTATACACATCCAAAACCAACTGAGTTGATCTCTAGCAATATACCAAATAATGTATTTAGTAAGCTATTGCCCTCATCTGCTTGATTTTCCTTACTCCAAACTGGACCAATCAGTGTCCAGTCCCCACTCAGGTTTCTTCCAGGAAGCTAGGCCCCCAATTTACTCCAGTTTCCCCTATCTATGTTGGCCTACAATCACTTCTTGTCTCTAGCTGGTCTTTGTCTCACAGAGTGGGAGATTCTGATTTCCCCTTAGGCTCAACATGCCCTCCAAGGCAAGGGAGACGTAAAGGACTGAGGGGGTAAGGAGCTGCCTGATTTTGTTAGGTGGCTGAAAGGACCCAAAGGAGTAGGATGCATACCTGAGGGGCTCCATAGATGTACAGCACCAAGGGTTCATTCTCAGGGACCACGAACCAGGCCTTGTGCCACCCTTTCCCGCCCTTCTCCATGTAGTGCAGGAAGCTGCAGATGACGCTGTTTTCTGCAGCCACTGAGGCCTGTTTCTGTGGCCAGAGACATGGGGAGCATAAGTGTTGATAGAAGGCTCAGCCTGGCTACTCCCTCAGCATAGGGATTGTTATTCTCATATCTCAGATGAGGATGCTGAAGCTCAGCTGGCAGGACTGATTTGCCCAGTGTTACCCAGTGAAGCAGTAAATTTAAAGCCAGGCTTGTCTGCTGAACTTGAGACATGGCTGCTGACTTAAGAGTGATGGAAGTATACAGCTCTCAGTGGCCGGGGGGCGGGGCATCTAAATGCCAGTCAGGCATTCTTCCATCAGTTCATTTATTCCTCAAGTCATTTATGCATTTACTGCTCATCTTTTGCTCATGATTCATCACACATCCATTCCCTCATAATTAGAGGCCACTCTGCATTATGGTTAAGGTGCCTGGCACAGAAAAAGCACTCACTTTATATGTTAAAAGAATACCTTGAGGGCTTCCCTGGTGGTGTAAGGGGTTAAGTCTCAGCACTATGAAGCTCTCCGCAGCCACTGCAGCACGAGTTGGATTCCTGCCTAGGGAGCTGACCCATATGGTGCAGCAGACCTGTCTCACCTGCTGCTCCCCTCAGCAGTGTATTTAAGTCAATCTGTCTGTTCTGTTCCCCACTCTGTCTCTGGTGAATCATCTCACTTCCCACACCTCTGGCTCTACCCCAGTTTTTGTGTGCATAATTAAATAAATCTTAAAAAACCTAGATTTGGTGAAAAAAAAAAAAAGGCCAAAATTATATGTGCAAATGCCTAGAAAGAGGCTGGGTAAATGCTTATAGCAGTAATCCCGGGGTAGGAAGAAATAATGTTTTCAATATTTTTATATTATTAAATTTTCTTCAGTGTCCCTAACCTATTTGTAATAAGAATAGGTAATTTGTTAATTTAGAAAAAGCCCAGCTCGGGCCTCCCCTGGTGGCGCAGCGGTTGAACGCTGGGCTGCAAAGCTGCCTGCAGCCTCTGTAGCGCCGGTTTGATCCCCGGCCACCAGCAAGGGTCCCACATGGTGGGATCTCTCCTGCAGCGCCCACTGTTCCCCTCAGCTTTGTATTTCATCAGTCTGCCTGTTCTGTTCAGTCTGCCTGTTCTGTTCCCCGCTCTGGTGAATTCTCTCACCCTCCCGCGCTTCTGACTGTACCCAGTGCTTGTATAAATAAATAAATAAATCTTTAAAAAAATAATAAAATAAAAAAATAAAAATGAAAAAAGCCCAGCTCTACCACTCAGTGGTTGTGTGACTTGGGCAAACAACCTCTCTGGGCCTCAGTTTCCTCATTTGTAAAACAGAGATAATGAAATCGGTACTTTAGTTACTGCGAGGATCAAATGTCTAAAGCACTTAAATTACTACCTTTCATTCACTCTTGCATTCATTTTACTGCAGCCTGGGTCACTTGTTCAGTGGATGCATATGGCACCTTATGGTTTCTGAGATGCCCAGGCCTCAGTCACACTGGGTGGGTGGCTGGGGCCTGGGTTGTGCATGTGGGAGGGTTAGTTAGGGGTGTGGCTCTTACCTCCAGGATGGATCTCCGGCGCTGGGGCGTATGCTGGCTACAGGCTGGGCTGCTCCCAGGCATCCCATGCAATGCCACATAACAATCAGTACACACACGATTGGAGCGGTTGTTGTCATAGATGAGGCGGGCCCGGAACTCTGAGCACTTCCCACAAACCACCTGGGGTGACAAGTAGGCAAGAGCAGCTTGTTTCTAGTTGGCCTTCTGTTGCAGTTTACCAACTTCCACAGTGGACTTACAGCCTTCCCCCTCTCAGAGGGTGCCCATTCAGAAACGGGTCTTTGGGCTGCTAGTCTGCCCCCTCCCTAGCTCTGCCCCTGCCTCCCAACACTCACATGCCCACAGGCCTTGCAGTGGTGCCTGCGTTTGGTGATGGAATTGAAGGGCTCCTGGCAGCGCATGCACATGGTGACTTCCTTTTCTCGAATGGGTGTAGGTGCCCGCTTCCCAAGATCCACGTTCTGGAGAAAGGGCCAGGTCTCAGGTGAGAGACAGCTACTCCTCAGCCCAGCCCAACACAGACAGCCCTTGCCCCTACCCCAATGTTTGGGTCATCATTTTGGGTGGGGAAGGGGGAGTAGACACATCCAGAATACCTGCTTTTGAATCCTGCTTCTACCCCTACCTCACTGTGCTACTGAAGACATGTCACTTCCTGGGCCTTGGTATCCCAGTGATTTCTCCATGACCCTACCAACAAAAGACTGCTTCTGGCCTATCTGGTCCTTATTCTCTGAGAAGGGGAAAGGAGCATCTCAAGTAAGGTGGGGGACTTTGAGGGATGTCTAGAAAGGGTCCTAGTGAGAAATCTTACTGGAGAGTTAGGGGGTGTGTCTTCATCTTCCCTGTTTGTTGAGTTCAACAGTTTGAAGGTTTCCAGCGTCTGTTCATGTTTTATGAGGGTGGAATTGATGGCCTGGGGGGAGGTGTTAAAAAAAAAAGGTCAGATCACCCCATAACCCACACATTTTCACCCTCACTTCATCTTCCAATGACTAACTTAGAATCAGAAAATTTGGATTCTAGGTTCAGCAGTGCTCCTTGCTAGGCATATGGTTTTGATTTGGAAAGGGACTTTCCAAATCCAAGTCTGTTTTTATAGTTGTGAAATGTGGTTCGGGTGGGGGTAGGCAGTGGCTGAAAATCTTCAGAAGGCCTTCCTGGCCACTGTCTGGGTTTATGGTTTTACAAGGCTTAACTCACTGGGGTTATAGTCTCAGAGGAATCAACTTTCTAAAAGGAGAATTTGAGAGTTGGTTTAACCCCTGGACCTCCAGTTTGCTTATCTGTAAAATGGGAATGGTTAAGTTTGTTGGAAAGCAGCTGTCCAGACTCATTTTGTTAAGATGAGTTTTAGGGGTGCCTCGCCTGGTGGTGCAGCGGTTGAGCACTGGGCTGCAAAGCTGCCCACAGCCTCTGCAGCACCGGTTTGATCCCCGGCCACCAGCGAGGGTCCCACGTGGCACGCAGACCTCTCCTGCCGTGCCCGCTGCTCCCCTCAGCAGTGTATTTCGTCGGTCTGCCTGTTCTGTTCCCCACTCTGGTGAATTCTCTCACCCTCCCGCACTTCTGACTGTACCCAGTGCTTGTATAAATAAATAAGTAAATAAATCTTAAAAAAAAAAAAGATGAGTTTTAGGGGAGAGTCCACCAACATCTATGAGACCTGTTAATATTCCTCCAGCCCCCTACCACAAAGCCTTCTTGGATGTTACCTGGACCCAGTCTTTCTTTTCCTCTTCAGTCCTGTGCAGAGGGGTGGGGGAGAGGGGAGAAAGAAAGATGCTGGGTTAGGCAGACCAACCAAAAGCAACTGTAGTGATAAAGAGCAGGTGTTTTGGAGTCAGACAGACCTGGATATAACTTTGTTCCTTCACTTATTACTTGTGTGACATTAGTGAAGTCACTTAGCCTGTCTAGGTTTATTTATTCAACAGCTACTTTCCAGATTCTGTGAGGAAACTGAGCTCATAGTCTAGTGGGGTAAATAGACAAGGATGACCCAGGGGTATCAGTGCTGTGACAGTGACAATACTGCTGAGGAACCCTGAAAAGATCTGTCCTAGCCTAGAGTTTGGATGAGGGTTGCTAAGGAAAATTCCTTCAAGGAGGTGTTAGGCTTCAGGTAGAGGGGTATAGGTGAAGTGTGTGTTTAAGAATATGAAACAAACAAGAAACCATAAATATTGCTGCTGGAATATCAAGTTTGGGGAAAAAGGGCTGTTAATTACTTTTTTTCATTTTCTCCATTTTTAAAATGGAGATGATATATAATTATCAGTCACAGTAATTCTGAGTAGTAATGAGGTTACTTGTAAAATGCCCAACATAATCCCTGGTGTGTTACATACTCAATCGGTGTGTATTTACCCTGTGGTCTCCAAGGCTCCTCAGTGCAGTCCCATCAACTACTCACTAGGTATGGTACATAAGTTCTTCTACATCTGCATCCACATCCCTTCCACACTCCAGACATCAAATGCATTTTCTAGTAGGAAAATCTTACAACATCCTTAGAATCACTTTGTAAAAAATTAAGGATGTGAATTAATATTTAGCTACAAGAATGGCCATTTCAATGCTATTTATCATGGTGAAATGGAAGCTGCCAATAAAGGGAAATTGGGGGAAAAAAAGAAATGATGCTATAGCATTACTGCCAGAGAACATTAATGATATAGAAAACTTTTAACATGTTAAGTTTGAGTATAACATACTCGGTTGTCAGAAAAGTCATGATGCATTTTTGCTTCAAAAACAGAAAAAAATACATCAAGACTTTTCCAACAACTGGATAAATAAAACACATTCCCTTTTTTTAAAAAGCATATATGTCACATGAGTTTACACTTGTCAAAATTCATCCATGGTACCATTAAGACCTATGCATTTCACTGTGAAAATCTTGCCTAAAGAAAAGGAGAGGGGGGCCTCCCTGGTGGTGCAGCAGCCTCTGCAGCGCAGGTTTGCTCCCTGGCTGCCAGCGAGGGTCCCACATGGCATGCAGACCTCTCCTGCCGCGCTCACTGCTCCCCTCAGCAGTATACTTCGTCAGTCGGCCTGTTCTGCTCCCCACTCTGGCTCTGGTGAATCCTCTCACCCTCCCATGCTTCTGACTACACCCAGTGCTTGTATAAATAAATAAATAAATCTTAAAAAAAAAAGAAAGGGAAAGGAAAGGGGCCTCCCAGGTGGTGCAAGGGGTTAAGCACGCACTGTGAAGCTGTCTTTGCAACCTCTGCAGCATGAGTTCGATCCTGGCCTGCCAGGGAGCTACCCACATGGTGCAGCAGACCTCTCCTGTCTAGCCCGCTGCTCCCCTCAGCAGTGCGTTTCAGTAGATCTGCCTGTTCTGCTCCCCACTCTGTCTCTGGTGAATCCTCTCACCCCCCCACACCTCTGGCCTATACCCCAGTTCTTGTATGCATAAATAAATAAATAAATTTTTTTAAAGACTTATTTATTTATTTGTTTGTTTGTTTGTTTGTGTATTTATTTATTCAAGCACTGGGTACAGTCAGAAGCGCGGGAGGGTGAGAGAATTCATCAGAGCCAGAGCAGGGAACAGAACAAGCAGACTGATGAAATACACTGCTGAGGGGAGCAGCAGGTGCAGCAGGAGAGGTCTGTCATGCCATGTGGGACCCTCGCTGGTGGCCGGGGATTGAAAAGGCGCTGCAGAGGCTGCGGGCAGCTTCGCAGCCCAGCGCTCAACCGCTGCACCACCAGGGGAGGCCCTAAATAAATATTTTTTAAAAAAGGAGAGAGGGGTCTCCCTGGTTTCACAGGAGTTAAAGACCGCACGAGTTCCATCCCCGGCCAGTCAGGGAGCTACCCACATGGCACAAGAGACCTCTCCTGTCTCGCCTGCTGCTCCCCTCAGCAGTGTATTTCAGTACATCTGCTGTTCTGCTCCCCACTCTCTCTGTGAATCGTCTTACCGCCCACACCTCTGGCTTACACCCCAGTTCTTGTATGCATAAATAAATAAATCTTTTTAAAAAAAGAGGAGAGGCTTTTCCCACCATGTTTCCTGCTGCCATAATGGTGCACAAGAATGTCTTAGCAGATGCTCTCAAGAATATCAATAACCCTAAAAAGAAAAGCATTAGGCTATGCTCCAAAGTCACTGTCCAGTTTCTAACTCTGATGATGTAGCATTGTTATAGGAATCAATTTGAGATCATTGACAGTCACAGAACTGGGAAAATTGTTATGAACTTCACAGGCAGATGAAACAAGTGTGAGTGTAAATGTCCCCGATTTCGTATACAACTCAAAGATCAAGAAAAATGGCAGAATAACTGCTCTCATCCCTGTCAGTTTCGTTTCATTGTACTGACAGCCTAAACTGGCATCATGGACCATGAAAAAGCAAGATGAAAACACACAGGAGGGAATATCATGGAGTTCTTTATCTAAGGATGTAAAACATGTTCAAATAACATATGTGACCCAATGGAGAAAAAAGGAGTGTATATTCAATAAATATTGAATTTTAATTTAAGATATATAGACCAAAGTCATTAGGGGTGAGGTGTAATGTCTACAATTTGCTTTGAAATGCATTAAAGTATCAGTTGGATTGATTAGTGGGTAGATGAAAGAATAGATTTGTG